CCGAGCCGGTGATCCTGGACACCACGCCCGCAGCGCCACCTGCGGGACGGGCGCGCGCCGCACGCGAGTCAGACGCCCCGATTGGGCGTGTTCAAAAAAACAACGGCAGGAACAAACCTGCTCGAAAAACTCATTGAAGTCACTTCATTTGGAAAAAAACTCTCCCCGCCCCCCCAATAATAAATAAATACATGAACTCATTCAGAAGCGGTCAATTCTGGACCAAGTCTGAAAAGACGTTTCAAAACGTCTTTGGGAGTGAATTAAACAATCGTGAAAAGTGCCAAACGACGAGAAAAGGGAGCACACGCCGCCTTGTTGGCAGACTCCCGCTGTCAGCGCCACGTTTGAGCGCAATAATTTTTTGGAGTAGCGCAAGGCGTTTTGTCGCCTTGCCGTTTCACGTTTGCGGCCCCGCGGGCGTCTGTTTTTGCGCTCTCACCGACGGTGTGACCCAGGAGGCTGCGCACTCCGATCACGAAACCTTCAGCAAACTCCTCCGGACCTTGGACTGCCCCCTGACGTTGCAAAGACACGGCCAAGTCACACTCCGCGCGACGCGCCTACTCGAGTACGCGTGTTTGCTTGTACCTGAAAAGGCTCGTAAAAGAAGGCTTCCACACCCTCGGAGAGACCGCGGATCAGTCCAAACGGGTTTCCCAGCACGTCCAGACCCAGGACCAGGACATACATCTGCTTCAAAAACTGCACGGGGCAAAACGACGCACGCGTGTCGAGCGATCGGACGACGGCAATCCGGGACGGCCGGCGAGCCTCGAGCAACCTTCACCTGTTCGCTGTAGTGCCGCAGCGCCGTCCGCATTAGCTTCTCGCGGCGGTAAAACCGGTACTTGACCTCGAAGTAGGCGAGCCTGTCGGGAGCGCAGCGCGGCGGGCAGGATCAGAGCGCGACGCATCGGGCGGGATCCGTCCGTCGCGCGGCGGGAAGCGCCGGCGGCCGCTTACTTGAAGACGAGGTCGTCCACGTCGGTCAGTGTGGCTCCGATGCTCTTCAGGAGCAGGTTGAGCGACTGAACGGCGGCGGCGGCGTCCTGGCCCGAGTGGTCGCCGCTGGAGCCCAGCGACAAACTCAGGTGCAGCTGGAGGCAGGCGGGCGGGCACGCGTTTACTCCCGGGATCGGACCCGGCCCGCCACGCCGGCGCCGGCGCGTACCTTGATGGGCGAGATGTGGAAGTGCTCAAAGAAGTTGAGTCCCGACGCGTCACTCAGCGAACTCTCCATCAGTTCGGCTTGCAGCAGCTCAACGTCTTTTTGGATCAGTTGACTCTGAAAGGCAAACAACCATTTTGGTCATCTTCAAAGGTCCCGAGCCAACAGAGTCGTCCAACTTCCTTCCCGCGGTTCTCTGGGTACGCAGTGAGTCTGCGACATGGCCGAAGGTGGACTCGCGCGCTTCTTTGCCGACCGCACGCAACGAGCCTTTGAAAGGCAAGCGGACCGCTTGCAACACAACAACAACACAAGCTCGCATGCGCCGTGCCTGTTCCGTTCAAGTCGGCAAAATACGACGGGCCCAACGTCGTCATCCTTGGTTGCCATTCAGTCGAGGAGGAGATACAACGGCTTTGAGGAAAAAGAGCCATTTGCCCACATCGGTCACTTGGGAGTTTCTCTTCCTTGCGGCGTTGGCGATTTGCGGTCCTCCACACGATACGCGTCACGTGTCGTGTCGGGGCCAATCAGGGTCTACCTTTTGTCCGGTGGCTTGGGGGTCAGCAGCAGGCGTGAACAGAGCCAAGATGGCCGACAGGAAGCCTTGATCGATCTTCACTGCCATTTCTTGGACCAACGCCATGAAGTACCTGAAAAAAAACGCGCTTGCGTGAGAGCCAGTGCGGCATATGGTACGTTTTGCACCGTCGGTGATGTCATCACGGGATGTCACCGCGACCACGTGCGCGGCGATGTCATGAATGCGTACGCGTTCGCATTCAACTTCGACACACACACACAAACACTCACTTGAACTGCGTGACGCTGCTGTGCTGGTTAAAGCGCGTGATGACGGACACATCGATGAAGGGCTTGGGCTCTGTGAGGGCGGGACAGCCAGCGTTGAGGACAACAGCGAGTCGGCAAGTCGCAGCAAGCGTTTGAAGGAAGCACCTGAGTCCAGAGCGATGGACTTGGGAGGCGGAACCGGGTGGAACGCGATGGGGAAGATGGCGCCCGGGAGCTGGTTGTCCACCTGGCCACACACACACACACGAGGATGCCGCAAACAACGCAATCGACGAGGTGAAGTGCATACGACGCCGTGCCAGTGTGCGAGCGTGTGCCGACCTGCAGCCAGTGCAGTTGCGCCCGAAGGCTCCGCTGGTGCCGAGAGCGTTTGAACTCCACCTGGATGCCCGACAGGAAGTTCCTCCGGAGCGGGCAGGAAAAGGGCTGGCGCATCATCATGATGGCGGCGCCAAGGTTGACCTGGCAACCGCCGAGCATCACGAACAGAGCCAAGATGGCCGACAGAAAGCCTTGATCGATCTTCACTGCCATTTCTTGGACCAACGCCATGAAGTACCTGGAAAAAAAACGCGCTTGCGTAAGAGCCAGTGCGACGTATGGCACGTTTTGCACCGTCGGTGATGTCATCATGGGATGTCACCGCGACCACGTGCGCGGCGATGCCATGAATGCGTACGCGCTGGGGGGGGGGGGGGGGGGGGGGGGGGGGGCCCCACTCACCTCCAGGTTGGCGTCCACTTTGGTCCAACCGGCCGGCAGCTGGCCGCTCTGAACGCTTTGGTACGTCTTCTCCAACAAGTTGATGTGCTTCTGACTCAGCGGCTTCCAACGGTTCTTGCGCCTCATCTCCCACACCACGCCAGAACTGCGCACACGATAACGCCGACAACGTACAACCAGAGGGAGCGCATCACTCCTAATTCGCCGGCTCATTTGAGAGTTCTCTGGAAGATCCTGCCATTTGTTTTCAAATCTTCACGGTTCAAAGCTTGAGTCGAGTATTTAGCGCACGGACCTGGGAATGCCAACGTAGGCGACTTCCTGGCGGCCGGCGCTGTCCACCAGCGAGAGTCCGAGGTTCTGGAGCGAGACGCGCACTTCCAGCTGGTACTGTTCCAGTTCTTCGGCCTGGCGAGCTTTGGTCACCACGGCCACGTCTTCGGTGAAGATCAGGACACGCTGACGGCCGTCCAGGAAGGACACCCAGTGAACCTCGGACAGGCTGTCGTACGAGAACTGACCCACCTCGTCCTGGGCGGGCACAACGGCAAACACTCGTCACGCGCGTTTGGAGTCCCGCCCGCGTTGCTTTTGCGGCGCAGAGTCAGGTTGCGATTTTATTCATTGACGCAGGTAGGTCTGTTGAGAAGCAGTTCTCGTTTCCCACGACGACCTGGGAGTCTCGCCTTGGAGAACTGACCCTGTACTTCGGTTTCATGTGCGTGTGAGATTTGTAGCCCCGCGTCACGTTAGGAGACCTGCGTTGTATTTCTCGACCGAAAATGCCAGCGAGCCGGCAGACGCGGGCACACAGGAAGGTCGAGCGCGAGTGCAGAAGAAAAAGGAGGCGGACCTTGAGAAGGTCGGTCTCTCCAGAATGTTCCGAGCAGCTCCAGCTGAGCGTTCGCACTCCGGCCGGGTCGTCCCAGGCGAAGCGTCGCACCTCGCCGGGCTTCAGCTGGTGGACGGCAGAACAGCCGCTGAGGAGGACGGAAAGAGAGAGAGAAAGAGAAAGAGATGCATCACGGGCAGCGGAGGGGGTGGGGGCTGTTATTTGACCCTTCCGCCATGACTCCATTTGGAGATTGGCCGGTGTCAAATTGAGGCACCTCTTTTGAAGTATGTGACCTCATCCGAGGGTTGTTTGGATCACATTGTCACTGAACACTCGATCGAGCCTTCTACGTAAATGCATAATTCCAGAGAACATTTTTGATTTTTTTTTTAGGCTAAAGAAGAAAAGAGAAGCAGGCCGTAGAGGCATCGCGGGGGCGAAAGAGCGCGCCGACCTCTGCTTGTAGCTGATGTCCGCCCAGGGAGTGTGGTTGAGCAGGAGGGCGGGGGCCGCCCCCTCGTAGTAGTCGCCGAAGCCGATGATGCTCGAGTGGTCCGACACGTTGACGTCCACCGTGATGCCGCCGCACTGCGCGCGCGCACGCACACGCACGCACGCCGTCAGAAAAGTCAAGCGGGTGCGAGCGAGCGGGCGGGAGACGCGTCCTACCGTGTCCACGTTGAGCAGGGTGCCGTTGTCCTGACGGTCAAAGAAGAAAAACTGGGACGCTCGCTCGGAGCCCACCGCGCGCACGCACAACTTGCCCGAAGTGCTCTCGGGCCACAGCGGGAGGCACTGGAAGGCGACAAGGCAATCCGGGTCACAATCGGCACAACGCTCAACGCTGCCATTTGCCCGAAGGCGGCGCCGACCTCGGCCGAGGGGACGTAGTGCCACTTGGTGGCGGCGCCGACGGGCTCGCCGACTTCCAGCTCGTAGGAGGACTTGTTGACCAGCGTGTAGAAGGGACTCATGGTGACCATCTTGGTCAGGGCAAAGCTGCTCATCCGGATGCTCACACCCACCTGGCCCACGACAACGCCTCGCGTCACCTCACCTCACGTCACCTCACCTCGACAGGAAGGGGCGGGCGGGGTCTTACCAGGAAGTCGCTCTTGTTTTTGCCGGGGCAACGCACGCAGCCGCAACTTCCCACCGTGTCCAGGGAGAAGCCGTCCGACCAGGAGCTGGTCGACACGCACAGCTGAAGCTGGGAGCAAGGCGAGGAGAACACGTTTCAACCGGCAGCCTGAGCCGGCTCTCGCTTTCATCCCGACTACTTCGGCTCAAGCGACTGACGGCCGCTCTAACGGTGGCGGTTTTCAGCTAAGTCGGAACGGACTCCTCGGTGTCAAAATGGAGCGTCCTAATCAGCCGCGACGCCGCAGGAGGCGGCGCCCGGCCCGCTTCTTGCCCGAATTCCGAGGATTTCCAATCAAGTTCGAGCGGTCGCGGTGTCTGTCTGACCTTGTTCTTGCTGAGGATGTTCTTCCTGCGGAACGAGAAGAGGACGATGTCCCGGAGGTCCGCCGGATGCTTGACGCTGACGTCTTCCGCCCGGTACTGGAGGACGCGGCGCGTCTTGTTGATGATCCAGAACGGACTGAAAACGGACAGCAGAAGGCGACCCGGCGCCGGGGCCGCGTGGACGCTCAGGTCCAAAGTCACGGCGGCGTCAGAGTCGCACGTCAGGCACACGGCCAGGAACTCGGGCATGTTCCGGTCCACGCGCAGGTGCCCGTGCCAGTCGCGGCCCTGGTAGCGCAGCAGAACCAGAGACATGATCTCGCCGGAGAGGCGGGCGTTCAAAAGGTCCGACGTGCTCCCCTCCGCCAGCTCGTAAGAATTGGCGCAATTCTGCGGAGGGAAACGCACGCGCTCACTTCACCGCGGCAGCTCGGCGCTTCCGGCATTGCTACGTCGCAAACCTCATTGCGTGTCTGAAGTGCTCTTTGGTTACCTCCATCATGTATCGGAGCGTGTAGGGCAGCAGGTTCCTGAGCGTGGCCACGGGGTGCAGGTGGAGGACGTAGGCCGGGTCCCAGTCGTCCTCGCCGCGGCTGGCGATGTGGTTGAGGGTGTCGGGCGCGGCCAGCGTGCTGACCATCAGAGGGAGTACGCCGCCGCCCGCGTCCAGCGGGGGGCACTGCAGCAGCGAGCGCACCTCCGAGCTGCGGTGCACTTCCTCCTTCCAGGACACGCACGTGGATGACGGACCGTACTCCGACGACAGATCCGACGCCGGGCAAACGTACAGCTGACACCTGCGCCCCAAAATTTGTCATCTCATCTTTTTGAAGGCGACAGATAAAACAGTTGACTCGCCGATGCAAAACGTCAACGGAATTATTTAGCGTGAATTACAAGTAGCCGATGATTTAAAAAATTTGAAAATAGTTGCTTTCAGAGGTCAACTTTCCCCCATGGCCAAATGATGAAATTTGAGGAAATAAAAACAAACGTACATTTCTGTGGAATGAGAAAAATGGAAATAGGCTGAAGTTGGAACAACGCGGAAGGAGTTGCGCATCAAAAAAGTGCGAGGAATAAAATATCATCATCAAAGTGAACAGTTGTGCCTTCTCACAATCATGCGTTCTCATTTTAGGTGGACTCATGACTTGGATCAGAATCAGCATTGATTCGATCCTAAACTTATCAACGATTGGGTTGATCATAAAACACGGAATCTGGTTCGTTTTCAATCTCATCCCAAATGACCAGTGTCCTGATCCAGAACCGATGAGCTCATCCAATTCAACCGTTTACAGTTTGTCCAACTGGAATCACTGAGCTCGGGAGCCAATTCCTGGGCAAAAACGTTGGAATGCACGTAAGCCAATCGAGCGGCGACGCCACCTGTAGGCGTCCAACGGGATGTGGAATTCCTTCTCGGGGTGGGCGAGTCCGACCGGTTGCAGGCTGCGGGCCGAGGGGCAGAACTTGAGCACGCTGAACGGCACCGAGAAGTGGTTGTGGATCTGGAAGCCGAGGCAGACGGCCGTGGGCCGGCGGGTAAGCGCGACGACGGGCGGGGGCGGGCCGCGACGGCGACCGACGACGTACCTGCAGGGGCGAGCGCACGGTGACGAGCTTGTTGCCGTCGGCGGCGTCGACCTGGACCACCAGCGACACGGCCTGCTGCAGCTCGGGCCCGCGAATGTTGTAGAGGCGGCGGCCCGGCCTGTCCACGGGCACGTTGGTGATCTCGCTGAAGCCCGCCGGCACTGCCGGGGTCAAAAACAGCGCAGATGATAAGACCAGACAATCACCGGCTTTCCGACTGGATGCTTCCGGTCAAAATTGACAACTCGCTGCCCGTTTCGGGGCATGCGTTCTCGGGACTTTTTGGCTCTCTCCTCTGACGATGGACACGTCGACTCAATTGATCGTTGAAAAAGACGCCGAGATGTCAAGAGCATGAAATGAAAGCTGCCATCCTCAACATTTGCCTCATTTTCATCTTTGGACGTGGAACCCAAAAGCAAAGTGGCCCAAAAGTGGCCCAGGGGATGGCGTCTCAAGACGTTTCCCCGCATCCTGTTGTGATGGCCGCAGACACTCAAGTTCTCGTTGATCGCTCGACTTTCAACAAAGTACGAGATGCAAAATTTGCCTTCTAAGAATAAATCGTCCACGCCTGCTCACGGCGTACGGAGCCTAACGATCATCATCATGATAACAATAGCAAAAACCCGTTCTGACCGATGGTGAGGTGAAACAAGCAGCTCTCCTGACGCTGCAGAGCCGACAGCTTGCCCCGAGACGAGGGTTCCAAGACGGAATGTTCCAAGTCCATGCTGCGCCGGGCCGGCAGCTCGTGCAGTTTGCCGTGCTGCGCCGCGCCCACCGGCCTCAAGTTGGCGCTGTGCTGCACTATGAGCGGGACGCCCAGAGCGTTGAGGATGGTGAACGGAGCTTTCTCCTTCATGGACGGGTCAAAGGTGGACGCCGCACCCTCGGAGAACGCCTGAACACAACGCGGGAATCGGGCATCATCGTCACCGTCATCGTGCGCTGGATGTGCATTCGGGCTCGGCCGATCTGGATATGGAATGCGCCACTTACGATATTTGCTCAAGTAAGATTCCGATAATCCACCAATGAATTGGAAAAAATATATATATATTTTGATTTTGCAGTTGACTTTGACCTTGGCCAGGTTGCTGAAGACGTTGAGGCCGCAGCGCGACAAGGTGACGTTTAGGGCGTCGCCGGAGCAGATGTTGACGGCCACGCGCGGTTCCGGAAGGATCACAAAGTCGTCTCCGTGGACCGGACTCATATCCTGCGCGGGATTGGTCTTCATCTGCGTGCGCACAACAAGTCAAATATGATTGCCTGTTCATATTCAGATGGTTCATCATCAGATTTACATTTCGCCTTGGTTTTGTAGAATGAATTCGGTTACAAAAATGTGAGAGGAAAAAAAAAAAAATGGAAACATGCATGCGTGCGTCTTCTTCTGGTTGATGACAATTCAAGTCATTCTGACTCAGTGTGAAATGAGAAGGAATCATCATTCGGGTCGTACAATCACCCAGTTGACATCGTGAGACAATCACCTCCAGGTCAAGGTTCCACCTGCGAGCGCCGCCGTCCAGGCGCTCAATCAGCGGCTCCCACACGGCGTGGACTTCGTTAAAGTAGTTCACCTGCAACATCACCAGCAAACGCATCGCCAAAGTCATACACTTTATTTTGCCCAAGGACTCCGCTCTGGCGCTGGGTGTCACAAGACTTTGTGATTTCCTAGGACAGCTGGAGAAGACAGCGGAACTAAAAAAAAATAAAAAATCGACACTAAGGCCCGACCAATTCATCGGCCGGACGGTTAAAGACAATCATGGGAAAACAAAACAAAACAAAACAAAAACAAACAAACAACCTTCATCCCGAACTCTCCAAGAATCAAACTGGTTACCTCCAGAGTCATATTGGCTTTGAGCTGCAAGAGTGAGGACCAATTCTTGGCCGAGCCGCTGAAAGAGGACTCGGCCAGCAGCAGGGGGACCGTACGGTGACCCAGACCGGATTCCAGGGTCACCTGGAAGAGCTGGGAAGCCGGGACTTCATCAGAACCTCGTCCGGCTCAGATGAGAGGTGAATTGGCAGCTGGTCTTACTTTGACGTGGGCAGCAAAGTGCTGGCCCACGTTCAGGTCCTCCTGCTCCCTGAAGTTCTCGGTCATCTCGCTGGCCTGGTCCACGCCCAGGAACCAGTAGTTGCAGGCGTAGACCTTCTTGGTGAGCCACAGGTCCTCGAGGGCTTCCTGTTGGTCTCCGGTCTTGTCGCGGTCCCGTTGCCTGGCCGTCATGGCCGCCACGATGGTGCTGACCGTGTTCAGGATGAACGGCGAAATCTGGGCGAAGAAAAACAACACCGCGGCGGCCAAAGACAAATGTTGACTGCGAAACCCGAACCCTGATGCAAAGACCCCACCCAAAAACTTGTTCAGAAGCTTTAGTCGAAACCCTAACTCAACGTCTGAAAGCACAGACTACCACTTTACAGCCTCAAAACCTTGTTTGAAGCCCCATCCCTGACTATGTACCTTGACAATGACCTCCTCCACCGTGACGGAGCCGCTCAGGGGTTGGCTGGGACCTTGTTTGGTTTCCATGACAACGGAGCAGGGTCTCAAAACCGTGGTAACGGCCTTGTCCTCTTTGTTGTGGATGAGGGGGCAGGCCAGGACCTTGAGGGCCCTCAGTTGGGCGGTCGCGGTCTGGATTCCAGCCTGCTCCTGCAGGTTGAAGTCACATTGGAAGGACACAAGCAGGGACGGGGCGTCCGCCTTCATCAGGCTGGCCACGAACACCACCTGCGGGTCCACGATCACCGCACGGACACTCGTCCTCGTCTGCAACACTAAACGCGGCGCAAAGAGTCGGTCGGGTTGAGGTAGGAGGATGGTGGGCCGCTGCGGGTGGTCGTTTCGCTTCGGCGCGGGTTTCCCTACCGGTCTTGGCCTCGCTCCTCGGTTCTGCAGCGGGTCTTAGTGGCAGCCTGTCGCTCGGCGCGGCGCCGATATTTTGGGGGGGCCGCCGCGGCAGAGCCTGCAGGAAGAAGTCGGCCACGGCCATCAGGAACTCCACGCTGGCGCACACGTAGAGTTTGTGCAGGACGGCCACCACCGAGCGGTCGGCGCCGCTCTGCCGGTAAACCACGTCGATCATGGCCTCGGAGCTCTCGGAGTCTTGTCGGCTCACCATCCTGAGGACCAAGACCAGAACCGCATCGTGTTGACCATCCCTTTCCTGAAACTAAATCAGGTCCCTAAATCAGGACTTACTCGCTACTTGAGGCTGACATGAGACCATATGTACGTAACTTCTTGGTTTGTAGATGTCACCCGGGGCATACCCAAGCCACCTATGCGCCTCATTTCCCCCCCGTGGGGGCACTTACCGTGAGGTGACCCTGTCCATGCCGCTCCTCTGGTCGTCCAAAGTGCAGTTGGTCAAGATGGTGCCGAACTCCATGCTGCCGTTGTTCCAGAGCTTCCCGGAGGCCTTCAGCAGGTGGAGGGCGAACTCGCCCAGGCGGGAATTTTCCTGGTCGGAAGACTGCAGAGAACATGGGCAACGATCAGAGTGAACCAGGGCTGTATGGGGGGGGGAAACAGAGCCTCTTTTCACTGAAACTAATGCCGCTCTCCCTGAAGAAGCACAGAGCACCTCAATGAAATGCTATCGGACTACAAGATGATCAGAAATTGACTTCAGTGGAAGTAAAAGGTGAGGTCAGGCTACCGTCAGCCGAGATCAGTCAAGAACAATGTTTTCAATTCATTGTTCAGGGAGAGCCCCTTCTCGCAGTCCTGCCGCCTCAGCTGTTTCTCGGCCTTGATCGGATCAAAAGCAGCCGCGGACCAACCTGTTCGGGTTCGTCTTTGTACAGAACCAATCCAAGTGACTCGATGCTGAAGTTGAACTTGATGGACTCCACACTTTCATCCCGGTCCTCATCCAAGTTGATCTGCTTGCCGGCGCCACCTGCAACGTCAAACATGGAAGTCAAATCGCGGCGAACTACTCGGGAGAAGATGGGCCGTGCAAGAACCTGGCTGAGGGCCCGCGGGTACTCGAAGCTGCGAAGCGGTCCCTGGTCTAGGGTCACTTGGCCGCAGGCTGTCGGCCTCTGCCATGTTCTCTGTCAAGATCTTCAGCAGCACCTTCAGATCTTCCTGGCTCAGTGCCACCTACAGGCCACAAAGCAAACATCCTCTTTTGGAGCGTTCTGGTCAGACGGATCCAAGCTCAAGGAGGAGCTTAGCCGGGTTGAGCCAAAGAGGAAAGTAGGCTAGCCTACAAACTGCATGTCAACAGGAACATTTGAAGTTTCTCTGTGGTCGGACATCCCTATTAAAAAGGCTGATGACATCACTCATCATCTGCTGACAACAATGTCCTGACACCAAAGATGCTCTCACCGCACGTGCCAAAGGGGACAGCAACGAGACGTTTTGCCACCCAGAAGACAAAGGTGACCGGTTGGTATGCAAAGCACTCATTGGCCAACTGTAGCGACATATCCATCCACCTGTTATTCGAACCGCTTCCCCTCACCGGGATCAACAGCGGACGTATCGACACAGAAAAATAAATAGGGAGCCTCCACATGGAACATTGAGAAGCGAAGAGGGATTTTTCAAGAAACAAGCCCAGTCCGGTTGCCTGCATTGAATCTTGTCGGATTCCAAATCCAGGAAATGTTGAGAAGGAACTTCCTACGACAAGGAAAAACATCCCTGACTGATTCCACATTCACAGTGATCTCAGGCTCTCGGGCAACCGACGCAGCTGACGAAGCCGTTGAGGGAACTCGGTACCTTTGGAGGAGCACTCATGGACCGGATGCAGTCACAACAAGTCAGAAAACCTGAAACCGAGCTTCCTTTGAGTGAAATGGACACACCGTGCGGTGAAACTCATGCCTGTCCTCCTTTTGCTGAAAAGAAGGGACCCCCCCCCCCCACCCCACCCCACGGATATTCTCCGAGCGGCGTTCCCACCTTCATGGGCTTCAGGTCCCCGTCCACTTCCACGGCAGCCATCTTGTTGTACCAGGATGCGGCCAGGTTCCTGCTGACCCTCAGCTTCAGGTTGACAGGCTCGAGAAGCTCGCTGGAGGCTCCACCCGAAGCGGGGTCCAAACAGTTCCTGGTGGACAACACACTCGCGATGAAAAGCACGCCTTTGCGCTCGCTTCATTCGCACTTCAGTCTTGGGTCTCTCACGACGGATCAAAGAAGCGACTGACCTGGAGAGTTTGAGCTGCGTAAGTTGCACGTCCATGTTGTCAATCACTGCCGGGAGAGGGCATCCGTCGATGGGCAGAAGGTCGAAGGAGTTGGACACGGTGATCAGACCCAGGTCCATGACCAGGGCGTGGTAGGAGGCGGACGACTGGGGGATGACGATCAGAGGCGCCTTCAGCTTGATGTCCGTGGACAGACGGAAGCTTTTCTCAGCCAAGTCCCGAACGCTGGACGCCGCCCTCTCCGCCGCCTGAGCCGTCGCCGCGCTCACGGCTGCTTTGGCCGTCTGGAAGTTGTTGGCAAAGTTCTACAGGGGACGCACAACACGTGAGCCTCACAGAGAACAGATCCAAAGTGGCGATACGGTCGATCGCGTAGACCGACAGATGCTGTGTCAGAAGCGAATGGAGGAGGAAGGACTAGCGGGCGAGACTTGGCGGCACTGATCCAGTCGCAGGCCTGCGGGCCTGTTCTGAAGGTTGGTGACATTGGGATCTTCTTGGAATGTTGTAGAAGCGATCATTTGAAAATGGGAACACTGGCAGAGAGTTCTAAGATCAATAAATCGACAAACTGTACAGTCGGTTGACTATATCCAGTGGGCAGCGAGAGCACATTGATGGAGTAGATCTGGCCGTGTATAAGCAGAGCAATGAACGGCCGGCCGAGAACACCCACCAGGAGGGCCATGACCAGCTTGTGCAGGTAGACCACCCGGATGCAGCCCACGTTGAGCTTGACCCGGCCGTCCGTTTTGGACGTATCGGCGTAGCCCGAGCCTTCCGTGGCCTTGGGAGTCAGGCTCACGGAGAAGCTGAACACCTCGTCCCCCACGATGGAGATGGCCTGAAGACGGTCAACAGATATTCAAGCGGCGCTCAGCTTCACGCTCAAAATACCAGACGCCGCTTTGGAGCCACCTTCTTGTGGATGCTGGCCGGATCCACGTTGAGGACCGCAAAGTCCTTCAGGCGCGCCGACATGTAAGTTTGAGGTCCCTGCACCAGCAGCGAGCCGTGGAGACCTGCGGGATGCGGCAAGGACTTGAAGCGCGCGCGCCCAAGCGAGAGGAGTCTCCCAAGGGGCCAGCAGGCTGGATTCGCTACCTTGGATTTTGATGTCCGCTATGTTGCTGCTCTGGTCGCACACCAGGACGTTGAAGGCCCCCAGAGCCACCATCACCTTCAGAGAGATGATCTCGCCGAGCTCGGATGATGCAGTGATGTCTGGCGGCAAAGAGAAATGTGCTGCTACCTGGAAACGCCATGATTCCATTCCAGACCCCCCAAAATGGCCAACATTTTCAGCGGTCGGCAAATACATTCCTGCGCTGTCTGATTTTTTTTTCCTTTTGCTTGGGGATCAAATACTGAGAACATTTAGAAAAAAAAATCAAACTGAATGATCGGGTTGAACGAAGGAAGTCGCCGGTTTTTGGAGGTGAGCATCCTGAGGAGATGTTTCAGGGCAAAAAAAAAAAAAATAAATCATGACTTTCAAAATATGACTTTGGCCTTATTTTAAGACGGGCAGGTAACTCGGGTTCCTCGAGAGGCATATCCGACCTGTATTTGATCCCTCCCTACTCCAACACACCTGATTCAAACGATCAGCTCATCAGCAAGCTCTGTTGAAGCCTGAAACGATCATGAGCAATTGACTCAGGTGTGGTGGAGGAGGGAGAGGCAAAAAACAGGAAGGATATGGCTCTCCAGGAACCCGAGTTCCCGACCCCCGTTTTAAGAGGTGGGTGACGTCACACGCGGACCGTGAGGGCTGCGCCACGGCGAACTTACCCGACTTGGCGGCCGTCGTTTTGCCGTCTTCAGTCTTGGGCCCGAGCGTCCTCTCAGGAGACGCCATTGCGCTACCTGAAGACAGAGCCCCCGACAGGAAGTTGGCAGTCGACAGGAGCGCTTGCGTGTGCAGCATGAGGTCAAGCGAGCTGAAGGTCACCTGCGGGGCAAGGAGAGCTCAAGGTGTTTGCAAACCATCATGTGGACTTTGGCTTGGTGGAGGCCGGGGGAGCCCATGACATCGATTGCGAACTGCGTTCAACATCACGAGACAAGACACCGATGCGGCAGGTGGCAAAAAAGCTGAGGAAGGCCCATCCCACACCTGTTGGGAACGCCCCGCAGGTGACCAAGCCTAACTCGGAGCGGCTGGGTGAGGTTGAACACGGTTCGCCAATTTTGTTTGGATTTACGTGGAAGCCAAAATCCCGCAGAGATCGCGGGATCGAATCCGGCCGAGGCCTTCCGTGTTCTCCCCGTGCTTGCCTGGCTTTTCTCCGGGTAAATTTCAAAATCATGCACGGCCAGGCTAGGTCGCCCCGAGGTATGCTTGCAAATGTTCGCTCGTGTATGCGTGCCCTGTGATTGGCTGGCAACCAGTTCGGGGCGCACGCCCGCGACCCTCCCGAGGAGAAGCGGATCACATCACGGATGGCCGGACTACGGTCGGACTTTGTGTTATCGCAGCGGGCCGTCACTTGCAGAAATCATAGGAACACTTTCCTTAGGAAACCTTTGTGCGACTCACGTTGATCATCTGTTCCGTGTTCTTGTACACGCTGGAGAAGTTGGGACCCTCTCGATCAGCCTGAGCGCAATCAGGAACGGCAGCGCAGGTCAGGACACGGCTGGCGCTCGCCAAAATGCGCAAAGGAGTTCTGTGCTATCCTGACCTTGAAGTACTGGACTTTGAGCAGCTCGGAGCCAGGCTGCGCCGACGAGCTGACCAGACAGAGAGGATCTCCGGCGGAGTCTGGAGCACAACATCACAGACGCACACCAGATCCAAGACGGTACGACAACAACAAGGCGGGGGAAAGCGGTTGACGGCAGTAGGGGGGAAGATCGATTGGCTGGGACGTGATCGGAAGACGAGGAGGTAGTTTGGTAGGATGTAGGATGACGGGCAGTTGGGCGGGCGGTTAGCTCGTTTGGGTAGCTTGGCGGGAAAGAAGGCCCTGATGGAGGACGATGGCTGCGCGGTCATACGGGTCGTGGGACACAGGGGCTCGGGGTTAGGGATTGCTGTTCGGAAGGCGGGGACGATTACCTTTGAACTCCAGACAGGTGAGCGTCATCTTGCTGATGTACGTGGTGGCACAGGTGTCGTACTTTCTCACTTTGGTGTCCATGCCCAGGTGACCGAGGTGGAACACCAGGAAAGGACGTTCCATCTCCACCTCGCTGTCCAGCTTCTGCTTCGGCTTCTTCAGGCTCAGCAGAACCTTCGAGAGCAACCGCGTCGTCAACGGGTGGGCCGCTCGCATTTGCCCAAACGCTTTGAAATCCAGATGAAAAATGAGGCTCTCGCCACCTGATCTACGATTAAGGTCTTCGAGCAGTTTCTCGAGTGCACGTTTCCAAAATCCGGTTCTTGCGCTCTCTGTTCTTTCAGTAGTGTGAGTGTGAATGGCCCACATTCATTTGTTTGTCAACGCTTTGAAATTTAGAATCGAGCTCCCTCGTCTTGCCGTCAAGGTGTCCTTGTGCAAGACGCTGAACCCTGAATGGCCTCCAAGTCGGCGATGGAAATGGAAAAACTGAGCTCGTTTACCTTAGCGGGTTGAAGACCAAAAAAAATGCAGAGCGAAACAAGAGAGCGCCTCGAAGCTGCTCTTTTACCTCTGTGATTTCAAAGTTGAGTAGGACATTGACAGGGTTGTCCCCGGGCTCCCCGTTAGCGACGGCCTCGACCGCGCCGCCGCCAGTGCACCCGGATGGCGCCGGCGCCACCTGCCGCTCTCCGAGCTCGACCTTCTCTGCGGACCGAGGGAGCGCTGCGGTCACGAAAAGTCCCGACGATGTTTTCGTTTTGGAGTCCCGTGAAGTCACCTGGAGTCCCGTTGTGCGCCTCCGCGGCGTCGCGGTGCTCTCGGCTTCCCTCGCCGATATTCTCCAGCAGAACTTTCGTCAGCACGCCCAGGTCCTCCTCCCCCACGCTCACCTGGCGGACACGCTCGGCGTTAACGCGGCGGGGGGCGTCAACGCCGCGCCGGCCGACCGTTACCTTCAGAGAGCGTAGGACCCCTTGCACGTGCACGCCGGGGATCTTGGCGAACCAGGACGAAGCCGTGTTTCTGGTGACCACGAGTTCAACGTTGATAGGCTCCAGGATCTCAATGTCCGGGGTGGAAGAGGAGTCCGCCCTCAGGGTTGCTCTGCGGAGGGCGGGAGAGTCAGAGAGGTTCCCGTTTCCGTTCCGGCGGAGAGTGCGAGACGCTAGCGGCTACCTGGAGAGCTTGAGCTGCGTGAGCCTGATGTCCATCTTGTCCACCACGGCGGGGAGGGAGAACCCCTGGGCGGACGTGAGGCCGAAGCTGTTGGACACGGTGATGAGGCCGAGGTCCACCAGGACGGCGTCGCGGGAGCCGGACGACTGCGGCACCACGATGAGCGGCGCCTTCAGCCTGATGTCCATGAGCAGGCGGAAGCTTTTGTGGGCCAAATGACGCACGCCGGACGCCGCCTTCTCCGCCGCCTGAGCCGTGGCCGCGCTCACCGCTTCTTTGGCCGTATGGAAGTTGTCCGCAAACATCTGGGGGGGAACAAAGACAAGAAGGGCGGAGGAGAGCCACGGCCGGGGATGAACAGCAGCGGAGAAGACACGGAGCGGCGGCGATTTGGGATCGAGTGCCCGACGAGATGAACTATCCACTAACTTTGACACGACGCACTTTAGCGTCCTTTGGACCGACCTCCTTCTGGGTGAGCGGCAAAGCCAATTGGAGGCCCCCCCTCCCCTGCCCCATCTTGCCAAAGGTCACTTGGGCCCATGGTGCAACCGCGACAAAACCGATTGGCAGTGAGCATCTCTGGCCGCACACTGACCAGCAGCGACATGAGGAATCGGTGCAGGTAGACCATCCTGATGCAGCCCAGGCGCAGGGTGACCTTGGCGTCCGCCTTGGACGTGTCCTTGTAGCCGTCCCCCTCGGTGGCCCCCGGAAACAAACACAGCTTGAAGCTGAACACCTCCTCGCCCACGATGGACACCGCCTAGACAACAAACAAAATATTCAAATTGCCTCAGACAGTGAAGGAAAAGATTTCTTTTGAAACTAAGAGAATATTTCTCCTCACTATTGAAAATGTGTCACTGAGTATTCATGCCATCACATATGATTGGATATTTACAAATGGTTCAATGTTCATGGGCAATTATTTGCATTGACATTTGCAACTTCTCGTCCTCAAGCGCCACATTGGCGTTTCAAAACTTTTGTATTCTCATCATTATATTCATCCTCATTTTTAATCCCCATCCAATTTTTAAATGGACACGACATCCGCCGTTGTTTATTTTACTCCTAACTGTTATTATCATTGACTAAAATGTTTTGTCGTGAAATCATTCCATCGAGTCAACTTTGGAATTGTACTCTATCGATGAAATGCTTTTCATTGCACGAATATTTTTTTTTTTAATCTTCACACTTCATGAAAGGAAATGTAAGTCTCATTGTGGATGGTGTTAACATTTCATTTTCTGACATTTAACGCGCCAATTATCAAATACAATCCATGAAAGGACTGCGTATCGAGCCAGGTATATTTCACTCGTCCTTACAACGAGTACATTCTTTTAATGAGAGAGCAAGCAAAACAAAGTCATTTGAACAATCAAAGAATGATGACCAAAGGCCAAAACATTCTTTAATAAAATAATCCCTGTTTTCACATTTGAATATGATTGGAAATGTATCTCTTATTTCACCAAATCAATTACAGCATGAAAACAGGCCCTTTTTTTTCGTTTTCAGAGTGAAATGAATGTAAACTGAAATCAAAAAGGAACTTCTCTTCCGACCTTTTTGTGAATGCACTTGGGGTCGACGTCGGTCACCACGATGTCTCGGAGGCGGGCGAACACCTCCGTCTGCTTGGCCTGCACCAGCACCGACGCGTCCATGCCTGCGGGGCGGCCGCAGCCGGCCAAGCGTCAAAAATGGCAGCGCGCGGGACGGGACAGCCAGACAAACGAAAGCGCCAAACGTAGAAAACCCTCATGTATGCTCCATCTTGTGCCGACGACGGGCTACGCGAACGTAGCCCCGTTTGGGGCCGGACGGACGCGTCGCAGACAAACGTCGCCCTGGGAGTTCATTCCGAGTAGTCTTGGCGCGTCTCGGCCCGTCTTAGTGCGACGCGTCAGACAGCAGAGCTCGCATTTGAAATGGACGGCAAGTCTCGCACACGGGAGCACTCGGGAGCCTCTTGATCAAGGCTCCGGAATAGAAGGAAAGCTTTCCATCGAGTCGAGTCTTTGCTCACCTTGCACTCGAATGTCGGCGATGCTGCGGCGGTCGTCGCAAAGCTCCACGTGGAAACATCCCAGCACGGCCAACAACTTCAAGCTGAAGACTTCCGCGTCTTTGACGCCTTTCGACGCTGAGGGCAAGGGAAAAAAAAAAGTGAGGGGGGGGGGAAGGAAATAAATCATAATAAGGACCAGAGCGAAAGAGATTTTTTTTTTAAAAGCAGTTTTGTTTCAATGAAATGGAAAACAACTTTATTTTTTCTTGGTCCTTTAAAGCTGACGAAAAAAAATGCAGAAATGAATTACAGGCGGAACTTTGAACGGTTTGTTCTTTTTATACGACCCAGAGCAATTTGAGGCAGGAAAAGGCCCGCCTTAATCGGGCACATTTGAACCGCGGCCTCACCTGTCCTGCCTCGGTCTTTGTCCACCGGCTTCCTGGCGTCTGCGCTGCGTTCCGAAGGAAGCTGCGATGCGACGGCGCTGGACAGGAAGTCCATGGTGGACAGCAAGGCTTTGGCGTCCAGAAGAAAGTCCAGGGAGGAAAACGCCACCTGGGACACAGCACAGTCATATCTTGTGCTCAATTGAGCAGAGCGGTACAAGGACCCGTGTCTTGCTACGGGGAAGAATGCTGAATTCCATCTCCGCATTCAGAACTGGTGTAAGCTGACCATTTTTTAAACAGTTGCACGAGAATGATGAAGGTGAGATCTTCATGAATTGGGCCTTGAGCAGCAGAATATGCTCGTAAAATGAAACGACCTTCATTCATCAGCGTTTTGAAGCCAGACGATGTTATTATTTTCGTCGGAAATACAGTGGTTCATTGGCAACTTTGCAGATCTGGAAAAACTGTTCAGAATGTGAATCAATTTATGAGCAGTAGTGGCACCTACTTTTTTTTCCCGACTCCCTCCTGACTCACACCGCCCACCTCCACGCTCTCTCTCTCCCTCTCTCTCTCTTTTTTTTTTTTTAATGAGCCTTGCGGGCCGTGCCTGATGTCATTTTTAATACATGCCGCGGGCCACAAAAGTCGTGATGGCGGGCCACAAATGGCCCCCGGGTCGTGGGTTGGGTATCTACACTCATGGGACAAAATGTGACGAGTAAGACAACGTATTGATAGTTTCAGTCATAAAAGTAGCAGTGGCAGCAGTCATATTACTGACTGCAGCTACAAGTGGCAGGAGTTGAGGCTGCTAAAATCAGAGTGGCAATATAACTTCTCATACTACGAGTAATAGTGGCAGTAGTTCTAGTATGAGCAGAAGTAGCTAACCTTGAGCGATTGCTCCGTGTTGCCGAAGAGCGTCGGGAAGCCGGGCCCGCTCGGATCCGCCTGCGGGACAAAAAAAAAAAAAGGGGGGGGGGGGTAGAAAAGGCCGAGTGACGGGTGCAGGCGGGCCAACTCACCTTGATGAAGTCCACCTTGAGGAGGTCGGCGTGGTGCTGCTCTGAGCAGCCGATCAGGTGAAGAGGCCCGCCATCTGAAAGGTGCACGTGTGGAAAACAGCCCACCGTTTGTATGCGTTGCTGCTCGCGCGCGTTTAAGCACCAGCTGGCGGACGCCAACAACTCGGCTCACTACAGCTTTTGGCACGACACGTTAGCCTTAAGCTCCGTGACCACACTTGTAACTGCCGTAATCCATGCTGCTTCTAGTGTGCCACCGAGCGGCAGTATGGATGGGGGACTTTGCTAAAAATCACAAAATTTGAGCAGGGATCCGTGTGGACTTTCTCCACTGACCGGGCACGTCGCAGTAGTCCAGCGCGATTCTCCTTAGGTAGGACGTGACGCTGGTGTCGAAGGTCCTCATCTTGCCCTGGGCCCCCAGCTGCCAAACGCGCAGCGCCAGCACCGTCTTCTCCCGCTCGACTTGCCGCGTCAGCTCCAGCAGCACCTGATGGCCACACCCACACGCGTTCTCGACGCCGCGTTCCACCCGGCGCAACGCTCCCGAGCGCCGCGCACCTACCTCTTTGACTTCGAACTTGAACTCGAGGTCGGTCAGCTCCTCCAGAGCCCAGCGCTGTTGTTCATCCTCCGGCGACATCTCGCTGCCGTCCGAATCTGAGACGCGGAACAAGATCCGGCATCAGTTTGGGGCCAGGGCCGGCCGGGAGAGACCGGGACCGTCGTCTTACCCGTCTCAGCCACACTCAGGAGCGCGGGATGGAGGAGGAGGGCCGGTGGTCGCGACTCTGCCAAAGTCGGCACCTGCGGCAGGGCAAATAGAGTCAAGGCGTCTTCATTGTTCAGTTGGCCTGTGATTATTTTTGGCAATTCTCAACCGGTTGCAGGGGCGATGCCAACTCGGACTGGACTTGATGTTTTTGCCGGTCGTGACCGTGCGGTGGTGTTGAGCAGTTGAGAGCGCGAAATGATTCGTCCATATCGAAACGAATAGTTTGCGATTCATTTGATGATCGATTATTCTTTAAGAATGATTCCTCAGCCCTAAAATGTATTGCTTACAATGATTGGAATGATAATGAACCATTTTTTGGATTGCCGGAAAATCTGATGTCAAACTGTGAATCCAACAGCGTTCCCAATGTTGTCATTCAGCATCAAAATCTGTTTGCTACAGTGGCAGCACGCTGTACCTTGTCGGCGGGCGTGGCCGGCGCGGAGGGCGGGCGGGGCAGCGGGATGCTGCGGAGCAGCTCCGCAACCTTCCGGATCTTCTCGTCCGACATCTTGACGTGCACAAGAGGCAGCTCCCCCGAAAGCTTCAACCTGCGGCGCAACGTTTATTTCGCCAAACCGCCTGACGGGGTCCACTCGCCATGCAAAACGGCACAGATGGGCCACTCGAAAGTAACGTCGCCATCTACTGGCGCGCGTTGGTCACTGCGGGTCGTTTGAGGCGGGCGCCCGGGAAGGCTGGCGTGTACCTGGGCATCCGGACGTCCTTGTCCACCATGCACTTGGATACGTGAAGCGTCAGGTCGAGGGGCCGCAAGATGTGCTGGCCAGAAGAATTCTGCAAGCGGGACGACTTCCACTCGTCGCCTGGACGCCCAAACAAAACGCACGGGGCCTTTTTCAACAGTTCCCGTTACGAACACCATCATCTGTAAGGCTGCTGCTACTAAAACTAGGATCAATTCGAATACTTTACTTTGACTATGATTACAAGGACCACCACGACTACAAACACCCGCCTGACCTCTACTATGACTTCCATAAGCAATAACTAGCACGGACTTCAATTGACCACAATTGAATCAGCTGATATTAATTAGCTCTTTCAAACGGGCCACTTTTTTTGCTGATGGATTTTTTTGCCCAGGACACAAGATCAAAGAAAATGACTTTGGCACATGGCCGTCGCCATGCCAAAACTTTTTGCCGATTTCCGCTTTGTTGTCGAGTTAAAATAAATACGAACGGCCAAAGTGCTGCAAAACAGTCAAATGTTCGACCTCGGTATCGGTCGAGATGCGCAAAAAATATGAAGCGCCCGACTTTGGACGGGGGAGGTTTGATTCGCCTCCTGCTCACTCTTCGTACCCGACTTGCTGTACAGGACTTGGACTCGTCTCAGCTCCACGCTGTATCGCTCGTACGCTCGCTCCATGATCTCCTCCAGCGATGAGAAGGACGACGAGGACGAGCGCGCGTTCTCATCAACACTGTTGAACTGCGGCACACGTGCACACACGCTCGATTTAACGCACACGTCCCGACGTGAGCGTGTCCCAAAATACCTGCAGGTTTCCGAAGTCGACGACGATGAGTTCGGAGGTGTCCGAGTAGAAACCGTCCTTGGGCAGCAGAAGGTAGGAGGGCTGCAGGTCGATTTTCAAGTCCAGAACCTTGCGCGTCTCGATGATGTGAGACAAACCTGCAAAGATGCCACAAGGTCAAGTGGCCAGAAACAGGAGGCCGGCCGGCCGCCCCCAAATGCAAATGCGCCCCCGATGGAGGCTTTCCGGCCGGCCGGCCACCTGTTGCCGTCTTTTCTTTGATCTCCTCCAGTTTGGAAAGCGTGGCTGATGTTAGCACTTCCAGCTCCACGCCTTTGCCCATCTTGAAGAAGTCAGCCAAGCTGTTCACCGTCATCTAGAACACACACACACACACACACACACACACACACACACACACACACACACACACACACACACACACACACACACACATTCGAGAACGCTTGAGAGGGCGTCGGCGCGAGAGCGGGTCGGCGCGCCGGCTTACGGCGTCGTAGATGATCTGCACGGGCTGCGAGTGGACGCGGACGAGGTGATCGGCCGGGCTGTCGTCGGGGTTGAGCTCGAAGGCGGCGCGGAGCAGCGACGCCGCCGAGTCGCCCGCCGACGAGATGAGGGAGGGCGCGCCGCCGCCGCCGTCCAAGCCCGTCACGCTCCACTGCCGCAGGGCCGCCTCCACCCTGCCCAAACGTCAACACGCCGCAAATTCACGAGTGCTACGAGCAGCGTGCGGTTATCAATTCCCTTGTAGGCTTGCCGCGATGCCTCTGCAGCATTCATTCACCATCTCTCATGCCCATCTACTCGTACGCTCCTTGAACCTCTCTATCCAAAACCATCAAAGTGGAATATTATGAGAACTAAAAAAAAAAAAAAAATCGATATTGATTTTTGTACCCGCAGCGGCTTCGCTCTCTCCTGCGGTTGAGAGGAAAGACATTTCATCTGTGTTGCACGTTTGCCAATAAAGTGTGGACTTGACTTTGTTTAACGAGGCATACATAGTTCAACAAAAATGAAGTCAAAATATGACAAAGAAAAAAAAAAATACACACTGGCGACCGGGTGCAATGATTAAGCAACAGCTGGTCAACTCATCACAAATTATTTCCGAATGCTTTCGAGATCTTTGGACTCAAATTGCCCGAATGCTCGGAATTTCAGCATCTCGACTGCAAATGTTCGTCCATCTCTGTTGCCCTGCATGAAAGCAAACTGATTTTCTTTGCGCCGAGTCCAAAAAAAAATGTTTTTATTGCTTTGACGTGAGAAAACAAAGGTCCAGACTTATGCCCCCAATTCTGACAGACGTCGCAGAGTCGTACTTCATTCTTATTTGTGGACCGTCAATTTGAAATGATGTCCTGTTTTGGAAGAAAGGAAGGGGAAAAGATTCTTCTTTTGCAAATCCAAGTCATCGATGACTCGTCAAAAGAATCAACAGATGAATTGAGGATGAAAATCGCGGTAAGCCAACATTCTCCTCGGCGAGCGATTCGCAACGGCAACACGCGCGAGATGTCGACCGCGCTCACAATCGCATCTGGGTCCACCCACCTGAGGGCCTGGGCTCCCGGTCGCTGCGAGATTTTGCTGCTGAGGTGGATCATCTGCACTTGGAGGATCTGCGGGACGCGGGCTCGCTCCCTGACCGTCACCGAGGTCCGGAGCAGCTGGAAGGTAAGCTCCACGGCGACGTACTGCACAACGTCATCGCACGTGTCAAATTACGGCCGGGCGTCGAGAGCGGCACAATGCGTTTGCGCAACGGTTCGATTGGGGGAAAGCGACGCGTCGCCATCGCTAAGTCAAACGCCGTTTGCTCTCAGCTGATCGTTGGTCTCGAATGAAAAAAAAAAGGGCGTGTTGTTTTGTCGCGACCACCCGGCCTTCCTGGCGCACCTGTTTGGGCAAGGCGAGGTTATGCGAGCTTCCGCTGTAGCCGATGGCGGCGTAGAGCTTCTCCTTCTCCTCGGCGGTCATGATGCCGTCCAAAGCCGAGCCTGAGGAGGACAAAGATGGGTCGGCGCACGTCCCCGGGGGCGGTGCCGTCCCGGCGTGCCCCTTACCGACCTTCGGTCTCCTTGCTCTCCTCCGACTCCTGCTCCTCTTTCTTGGGCTTGCGGGCGAAGAAGCCGCTAAAGAATCCGCCCTGCTTGTGGGCCCCTGAAGCCTTCTTGGCGGCCACCTTCTGCCCCGAGCGCACCACCTGCGGGAAGACCAGGCGCCCCCGTTTGTCTCGTGACAGCTGGCATGCTCCCGTTATGTCAAAGCAGAAAACCACAGGCTGGAATAAATGGTGTCATATGCAAGTTGTCATTTGGAGGCCGGGGGGGGAAAAAAAAAAAAAAAAGTTGACGCCTTTCTCTGGGGTTGTTGTTTTTTTTTTTTTTTTTTTTTTTTGCTCACTCAACATTACATTCACCATCTATCACCATTTAATCCCGTTTAAAAAAAAAAGAGATACCTGCATATATATTTTCAGAACATTTTGCTGAAGCTTGTCCTCTTGCTGTCAGCCATTTTGGAAATGACTTCAATGTTAAACCGATTTTAGAAAAAAAAAAGGTTTCAGATTTTAATTTTGGGGTGAGACCCAACCGGGAGTAAACATTTTTCAAAATGTATATTTGGTTTTTATTCTTTCTTCTGGTGTTGTTCCCCGCCCCCAACGCTGGCAAGACTGCTTTGCACAACCACAGTTTTTTTCAGGTCCTTTTTTTCTTTTTGGGGGGGTTGTTGGGGGGGGGGAGGGGAATCTCCACATGTTTATTGTTATTCTCTAGCTTGAATTTGTAGCTTACCTCCATGTGGGCCTGCTGTCGAGCCAAGGTGATATTGAACACATCCAGAATTTTCTCCAAGTCCTGGTATGAGCACAAAGTAGTCCGGGTGAGTTGCAAAAGCCTCAACAGAGGATTTGTTTGCTTGGAGCGTTTGGACCTGAAGCTGGCACTCGGCGTCGGGGCTCAGCTTGTTCTGGCTCAGGACTTTGCTTTTGTAGGCCGTCTTGTAGGTCTTGACCTGCTGGCGGTGCCGTCTTATGTTGGACCAGGACCACATGTGGCTTGACCGGCGGATGTGAACCTCCAGGATGCTGCTGAAGGCGTAGCGCCACCTAGTGCACAGGAAAACACACACGCACGCACGCACACACAGACACACACAAAAATCCTGAAGTGTGTCTTTAGTCGGACCGGGATCGGGGAAAAAACCACCCAACAACTTTGAAGCTCTACGGGCACTATGTTTCGGTATTGTTGAATGTGTTGTGTTTCTAGCCCGACACATGAACGAGGACATACTCGAGGCCAGGGGGATTCTAATTCATATATTTCAAAGATTTGGAATGAAAGCCATTTGATAGAAATTGCATGTCTTTGATTGTGGCGAACACGTGAAGAACAACTGACCAGAAGGCGGCGTTGGAGTGGACCGGGACGTCAGGCCGGAACTTCCTGTAGGGGGCGTTCTTCACCATGCGGTCGACGGACTCCAGCATTTCCACCATGGTCACATACTTCAACGACCGCCACCGACCAATAAACAAACAAACAAAGTTGGCCGCCGTGCGACAATCGCCGGAACAACGGCATCGCCACGGCACATCACATCGACCGTCTCCATAGCGCTCGTCATAGCAACTGTCGTCACGGCGATGGCCATCATCGCGACTGTCTCTGGCACCGCCGTCATTGTGACACAGGCGATATCGGCAATTCTCGTGGGCGTCCGTACCACCCAATGGCAGATTTAGGTTGCCCGTGCTTGGTCCCACGATCGAAAAACGAGCAGAAGTGGACGTTCTTCCAAGTCACACATGAACTTGACAAATCTACAACACTAGGAGCTCGGGCGCACTACACATGTTGATGGCCCGATTTGCTCAAGATTTTTATTTTTATTGTTTTGTGGCACCTGAGGTTTGGTGATCTGGATGTCGATGTTTTGGACCTCCAGGTGCAGTTGGGCTTTTGGAGAGTCCAGCTCCTGCTCGGCATTGGGGTTGATGCGGATCTTGGCCGAAGCGAAGATGGGCTTGAAAACTGGGGTGGGGGGGGAGGCAGACAGAACACTCTGAATGCGAATCCGGATCGACTGGCTAAGAAGGTTCAGCAAAAGGCTGGGGGGCGGAGGGGGAACAAACAAAAAAAATATCGACCATAGAGAGAAAAATCGAGCTCCTGGTCCATGCAAGGGTCGCGTTCGAGTGGTGCAAAGGACACATGTACTGACTGTAGTGGTAGTGAGGCAGCTCCTGGTCCTTGCTGGTGATTCCACTCTTGAGCTGATTCTGGAAAACATCAACCAGCTGAAACTTGTACACAAGGACGTGAAGCTTTTTGTTTTTTTTTTTTTGAATCGATATTTCAAAAGGACCTCACCACAATCTCTTGCCGTGATCCGCGGTAGAAGATTTGACTGTTGACGTTCCAGTAGGCACACAAACACTCTAGACGGCCCAGCTGACACATCAAAAGCAGTTGTTATTCAATCTATCGTCGTGCTAATGCTACAGGCATCAAAATGGGAGCAATGTTTGATTGACAGAGGCAGGTGGGGTGGATTTGCATTTGAACTCAACTGCATTTCTTCAGCACTTTGTCAACCTAAGTGTATTTCTCGAGCGCTCTAAAACAACCACCGCTGTCGACAAAGTGTCGTACATGGAGTAAAAAGTCAGTCAGACAACAACAAACAATAAATCAGTACATTCATCACAAAGACGGGAGAAGGCGGCAGGGGCGGAGGGGCTCCGAGAGGTCAGGTTGGGCCAGGCCATTTCAAGATTTGAAAACAAATCACAGGATCTTCCAAAAAACTCGCAAACGAGCCAGTGAAGGAGCGACGCGCTCCCTCTGACGAGTTCCGGTCAAAAGGCGAGCGGCGGCATTTTGGACCCACTGGAGACACTTTGTGGAGGATTGGCTGACTCCAAAGTCACGTGGATGACAGTCATCCGGCCGAGACGTGACGAAGGCGTGAACCGCCGTTTCAAAGTGCTCTTGCGAACTCGACGGCGCTTTACCTTGTGGATGATCTTTGTCGCTTCGTTGAGGATGCACAGCTTCCAGCTCTCATCGGTAGTCTAGTAGGAAATCCCCAAACTCAGACATCGTGCACGAGGACAAAGGTTTTGAAGGCTGATTTGGGAGAGGCGTCTCCAGAACTGACGCTGGCGTGCATGTAAGATGGTGTGGTGGAGGTGTTACCTGCAGGCTGAGTTCTGCCAGGGTGACTCCCATGGACAGGGGGCGCTGCGGGTCTGACACCTGAAATGCACACAAACATCGACATGACCACGTGAAGCTTTTTGTACACACACACACACACACACAGACACACACACACACACACACAACTGGACTTTGAAACATTTTCTGCGGACCTAGATCAATATGTGAACCAAGATACCGATGCGGATCTGTACATGTACGCCTCTGTTGCTCGTAAAATGGTCCTTGTCAACTCGATCTTGAGGTGGAATTTATCCGAAGACAACTTCCAACTCCAATTTGACCAATGACGGGCTGCTTAACTCATTCGGTCGCAGCCGATTCTAGACCGCGTCTGAAAAGACGTTTAAAAACGTCTTTGGGAGTGAATGAGTTCAAGGCGGGGGCTGCGCGGCCCACCGCTCCAATCCGGCCCGTAGCGCATCGACTGCAATCTTTCAACAAGTCACCGTTGTTGGTCACCCTCGCGACCGCCTCTCACTTTGTCAACGACAGCGTGAAAGCGGCCGCTCGCGTATTCAAGATCGGACGCCCGAAGCCAAACTTACGTCGTCCTCGTAGCGCAGGTGTATGCTGCTAATCTTCACCTGCAGGTTCTTGATGACCTGCGTGGCCAGTTTCTCCATGAAAGAGTCCTTCTTCTCCTCCTCGGGTTTCTCTGAAAGCAAGCGGCACAGGAGACTCAGAGACAAACCCGAACCTACGGGGACCAGTCGCCGTCGGCGGCCCAAGTCGTACCAATCGGCGGTGGGGAAGCCCGGAGATTATTCGACTCACCTGACTTCCTCTGGTGATCGCGTTTCAACTTCCTCAGAGCTTTTTTGTGCTTTTTGTGTTTTTTACATCCTTTTGCCACTTTGGCAGCGTTAAAGAGAGACACGGCAGTTAGTCGGACAAAGCGGGAGCGGATGGAGCGTGTGAGGAGAGGTGCAAGCGGGAGGGCGACGACCAACACAAAGCAATCGTACGATGAAGCGCGACGACGGACGCGTGCAGTGAGCCCCCCCCCCCAAGCTAGACTGAGCTTCGGGCTGCCGCTTTTTCAGGCTTTGTACAACCAGCTGCTTTTTGCAATGCTCAACTCTCGCCGGAGTGCTTTGCAGCAGAGCGCCACTTGAGCCGCGGGCGCCTCCGAATCTGAGATGGCGGTCCTCGGCCAGAAAAGGCCGCAGCGTCCTCTCCGGGTCAGCCGTGAGATCTCGCGCCACGCGGAGGAGTTCAAGTATCTTGGGGTGTTGCTCACGAGCGGAGATGGGCAGTGGCCCATCGGCGCAGCGTTTGCGGCGAAGAGGACAACCGCGTCGGTCCGCCGCGGCGAAGGAACTGAGCCGAAAGCCGATGGTCTCCATTTACCGTCTATCTCCGTTCCTACGGTCACGCCAGCTCGGTCATCCGGGAGGGGCTCGGGTCGTGAAAAGAGCCAGTTGAGGTTGGCTGGGGCGTCCGGTGAGGACGCTTCCTGGTGAAGGCTTTTCGGGCTGACCAGGGGGGGCACGCGGCAGAGACAAGACCTCTTGGCCGTCCTGGGAACGCCGCTCAGAGGAGCCGGACGTGGCGGCGTGGCTGAGGGAAGGCCGCCTCAGCTGCTGCGAGCTGTCCGGCGGAAGCCAAAGAAAACGGCCGTTCGCAGTACACCGGCGAGTCCCAATTGGCGGTCGGCAGTTTTTTTTGGGGGGGGGTTCGCTGCACCGCCTGCCGACATACAAGAGCTCCAACAGGAAATATTGCCCAACAACAAGCTTGGCACGTACAAGTCGTTAGCATGCTCAGGCTACATTCAAGCAAGGGCGTGCATGCGCGCGTTACCGTGGAGTGTCTCCTTATCAACAACGCTCTCCAGATTGAAGAGCAGCTCGCCACTTTGCGACGCTGACGCCAAACGCAGCGTGAAGACATCGGCAAATCGTAAGAGGACATGGGCGGCACATCAAACGCCGAACGTTCTTCTGAGCGCGACCCATCAACTCGACGGCCGACCGGCACGGCTCGCCCGACCGACCGAGCCGCGGCTGCCCGATTGGACACGAAGGCGGATCGCACATTCCGCTTCCGTTGCGTTTGGAAATATCGGCGCTCATGACGGGTGGCGCTCATGCTCGTTGCCGTTTTATCGTAGCGTAACAATAATCTTTCGACAAACAAAGCGCTTTCCACAACAGTTCACATCAAATAACAAAATACGGCAGTGATGTGCGTGCGCCCGAGGGAAAGGACGCACAGGGCACTACCCCATCTCGGACCGTCATTGACCACAAAGTCGGGGTGGGGCTCCACTCGTGGAGATAACAACTGGAAGGTTTTTTTTGGCTTGTTTTCCAAAATAAGACATTTGTGACCCCTTGTCAAGCATTTGCTATTCCTTTGGGAAACAATATTACGGAACAAAAGTGAACGGATGTATTTTCTGCACTGCCAATTTGAAATGATGTCCCGAATAAAGCCAAACATGTTTTATTTTTTTCCCCCTGGATGAAGCGATGATGAAAATCATGGCTCATTGCGTCGGAAACTTTCCAGAAGTAGCCGCTCGGCCCCCTTTGCAAGTCTCTGAGAGCGACTCACCTCGCCTTGCCGCCATTCGTAGCGCATCCTCGATACGCTGCAGTTCGCGCTGCTTGGCCTCCTGCCGGTCGCGCTCCTCTTTGGCCGCGTCGTACTTGATGGCTGTCCGCAAACACACGCGCACACACACACAAATAGGTCGCGGTGAGTTGAGGAGCTTCATTTAAAAAAATAAATAAATAAAAAAACAGCACTTAGCCAGGATCGAGCAACATCCTGGTGCCGAGGAAAGACGTGGAAGTGAATGGACGAGTTTCTGTTCGATAAGAGCAGTGCTTTGGCGTCATCTTGCGGTATCTTAGTGTCGAGCTGCAATGTTGAAGAGTGAATTTCATTGGCAGAAATGTGTTATCGTAGATTTTTGCTTGTCATGGCAAGACTTGCTCCCCCCCCCCCCCACTACAGCCGGGCAGCACACGAGGTGTCACAAGATGGCGCCAAAGCAATACTTTGAGATCCGCGCCTTGGCCCGAAGACAAAAAAAAAAAAAAAAAAAAAAAAACGGCAAAACGGAGAGATTTTGAAGCCAAAAACAGACGACGGGTTTCACCCCCACCCTGTGGAAACAAACAAACAAACAAACAAGGGGAAAATGTTTGAAGACAACAAAGGACAAGAAGCGAGCTCCAGAAATTGCCCTCAGCCATGGGCTGCAAACCGCCATCTTGGTTATGAAACGTGACTGCTCGCATGACATGGAGAGGGCTGGGCCTTCAAATGCACTTTGGTCTTTTGCACTTTGTCAGGGAGATTCATCCTTCGCGTTATGTTTTCGGGCTTACGGTCTATTAAAAACAGAAAAAAAGAAAACACTTTCAATCTGCTAAAATCGGAGGAAAAAAAAAAATCTGACATCGTGACGTATTTTCACTGCGTTGTTGGCGTCCATCTGGATGCCAGTGTTTTTGCGTTGCCTTGTTAAATCATTGATCTATTTGGCTTTGACTGTTGGGTCCAGTCAATAAATGGCTGAAAGTTCTTTAACTGGCCACATTTTGGCTTGTCCAAAAAAAAAAAAAGAAGCAGCATTGGCTCATAATTGGATTTCCATTGAACTCATTCAGTAGCAGCCAATTCCAGACCAAGTCTGAATAGACGTTTAAAAACGTGTGAATGAGTTCATTCTGTGAGGGGACGGGGAAAAAATAAATAAATAACGGAGATTTATTTGACTTGAAGACAATAAATACGTTGCCCAGCCCTAACTCGATGTGAATCATATACTAAGAGTACCCAAAGAGTTTAGAAATAGTATCGGAATACTTCAGTCACGATGTACGTTTATTTCAGTTTTCCATCAATCTTGGACGACTCGGGTCAAAACGTTTGGAGTCGTTTGTGGCGGTCATGCAGCCAAACTCGGAAAGTTTGCGCAAGGAAGGGAGCCGCCGCGACTCAGCCTCAACGTCGGGCTTACCGTTCAACGGGCACGTCTTCAGCGCGCCGTCGGCTGGAACGCACGCACACATGCAATGTGAGGACATGCAATTTCTCACTCGCAAGCGCACGTGCATCCGCACGCACGCGCACGCGCGCGCATAGAGACGGCAGTGCGGCTCGCATCGCTTACTGGCGCCGGGAACAACCAGCAGGTAGAGGCCATCCAGCGTTGCCACGACCGCGTCGTTGTACAAGTTCTTCCAGGGGATTTTCAACGTCAGCGTGCCTGCCACACACACGCACAAATACGTAAATGGAAAGGGAGCAAGACAGGAAATCCTCCGTGTCATCGGGCGCCGCATCCCCCGGACAAATTCCTTGTGTGTTGCGATATACTTGGCCCCTCAAGTCGATTGTGAGTGTCGCGATCCGATATGAAGATGGGATATCTGTCGGATGTCGGGCAGACAAAGCGTACGGGAGCATCCGGGTCCGCATCCCCAAACAAACGTCGGGTCCAGGCTGCGCGCCCGCCCTTCGCCGCAGCAAGCGTCCAAGGGAAAACATTGCTGGTGACGGCACTCCGGTCAACTGGAATTGTGCTTTGTGGCCCTGCCCAGAGTGCCATCGACTTGCTTGGGCTCGCTTCTCGGGGGCCTTCGATCGGTTTGACCCGAGTGCAGCGCGGTGAATTGATGAAAGCCCAAAGTCTGGCATCAACGGGTCACACTTTCTCATCCCTACTCTTGCCGACTTTTGAATAATATATCACATATCGGCTCGATATCGACAGTCATCCCCCCTCCCCCCCAACCACCAACTCTGCGGGGGATGCCGAGAGAGGCGGGCGCGCGCACACTCACCGATCTGTCCGGCCTTCACCTTGAAGGGGAGGTCAAATTCACTCTGAACAGAAGAGACGCATCACAACGGGGCCTCCCGAGCCGTTCGCCGGCACGAGCGAAACGAACCAAGAAAACTTACCAGCGCATTTTCCTTCACTCTCAGGTTCTCCAGGACCACGTTTCCTGCAAGAAATGACGCTGCGTTACCGCGGCAACCAACCGGGACGGCAGGAGGCAAATAGCCCCCCCAGGCCCTCGTTTGCACAGCTCCGGTCTAGTAATAGGTGAGCTCACGCTAAGAATCAAGGCAAACGAACTATGAATTAAGAGGAGGGACTTATTGAATCGCTTCCAAAAATAAAGTCTGCCGACCCCGCGGCTTTTTTTTTGGGGGGTTGTCCTTTTGAAATTGCAGCCCTTGGAAAAGACTGGCGTTGCATGACATACACCGACTGCAACGCCAATTGCAATCGGAAGCCTTCCTGGGGCCGAGTTGGAGCCTTTCCAACAGACAGGACGCTGATGATTTGCGGTCACGAGAAGAAAAGCGGCTCATGGGATCCTGACATACAGGTTTGCGCCACGCCCGGAACAAAGGCATACCTCCGGAATAGGATTAACATTTACTTCTGGCACATGCGGTCACCATCGCCGGAGAAAAACCAAGCGCGCGGACACGTCATCAAAACAAGAACTCGAGAGAAGATGGAGAAATAGACCAGTTGAAGTGGAATCATTCGTTAGCCTCTGAAGATAATTGCTCGGGTTTGTTTTTAAGTTGAATGGAGGCAACCGGGCCCTCGTTTGATCCGTATGTTGCTCTTGATGTGTTCCAAAGAGCTTACAAAGTGCTAAAGTGGCGATGGGTACCGTATCGATGGATGCCTTCTATTCAATTCCCGATGCGTTCACTTTTGAGAGACACGCTTGCTGCTCGCCAGCCACAGCGTCGGGCGGGCGGCGCCGGCGGCAACAGCGGCACAAGGAGAAGGAAGCGCGTGAGAGAAACAAGGATGGCGCAAGCAAAGCGGAAGTGATTCTGCCTTTTGAAATCGGGGGCCTGAGCCACAAGAAGCCTCAATAAGCCGTCACGTCTTTGTCGCATTCAATCACGGCCCACGACGGATTCAAAGCCAAGACTCCTTTGGAGGTGCTTGGACACGCTTCCAAAGGAGCCAGTGCCATTGAGCAAAACGGAGGCGCTGCTGAGAAGGGAAGCGGGACCGTCGCCGCTTCGCGCACTTTTCTCCAACCAATGACATTGTTTGCTGAAATAAGATGATATTTGAATGCATGTTTTGCAAAAGGATCTTCATTGTTTTCATCGAAACGTGGCCTTCTCTCCAATTGCTCTTCTCAAATGATGACCTTTACGGCAAAGCTGGCGCCTGGCGCTACGCCTCGCACCATTTGTTGGCGTTTTCCCAACGGGCGGCCGGCCGTCCGGGCGTTCTCGCGGCACCACATCGAACTCGGTATGTAATACGCGACAGACTGGCTCGGAGAAGAACTTGAAGTCAAATGCAAACACCCGATCCATCGGCCGGCGTCGTGCGCAATTTTTCCTCTCGCGCGCGAGGCCAGTGCGAATGAAAACAAGCTAAGAGAAGCTGTCTCGACAAGAAGAAATTCTCCGGCCGATGTTTCTTTGAGCGCGGAAGGTGGACCGGGGCTACAAATATGAAGATTGCTACAACACGCGCGACTTGAAACGAGAAATATTATAGCACGGTTCAGAACGCAACAAGAAAATGTACTTTTTGCACCGAACACATGATATCAAAGAGCATAACGCCCAATGAAGGTACGGTATCGACCGAAACCAAAGCCTCAGGTCGAGTGTGACGTTTGGAACTTGGCCTGCCAGTCTGCCTGCGAGTGTGGACGCGGGTCGTGGCCAACGGCGTCTGCTTGACGGCACTCCCATTTCGAATAAGTCAAGTTTATCGGGATTGAGGGGATTCACGGGGATGAGCGACTCGCCCCGATTCCAAACCCCTGCAACCGAGCGCGTTCAAAACTCAAAAGCCGGTGGGAGGAAAAAGACGAAACTTGGAGAGGGAGCACACATGTCAACATTTGCCCTTGACAGTTTGTCTCGGCCACCGGATGGCGTAAAGCGCATCAGCGACCGCGGCTCTCCTTGCCCACATGCCAGGGCATTACAACATCAGCGACGCCGAGCGAACGAAGTCTGGTTGCGCCCTGAAGAAAAAAAAAACAAAACAAAACAAAAGAGAAATAAGATAAATCGTGTTTGGGCGAGCAAATTAGGACCGGGGTTGAGAAGAGACCTGGCTGCGTGTCGCTACGCTGCGTTGCGCGCCTTTTCCGCAATTTACGAGCAAGTTTCTACTGGCGAGGCAAGCGAACGCAGTCCGGCTGCGCGCGGCTAGCCCGCCACGGTTAGCCAGCCGCGAGTTAGCCGCTTCTGAGCTCACCTCCCCAGATTCCGATCTTGAGCTGGGACTTGTCCAAGTTCTCCACGTAGTCGCCGATGAACCTGTTGAGAAGGTCGCTGACCAAAGCCTCGAACACCATGATTGACAGGCGCGGAGCCGCACTTCCGCATTGGACGCCGACGAGCGCCGAGCGACCGAGGCCTCTGCGTTCCGCTGGTCGAGCCTGCCGTCCTTCAAGAGCTGCGAAAGCGCCCGGAGCGCATCGATCGCTCAGCTGATTCCCCGCACCGGTGCTTTTGTTTTGGTTTCCGACTTCTTTGTAGAACAGTCTGTCAAAACAAGAGTTACAAACGACCAAGGAAGAATCGCCCAGCCAAAAGAAAAACAAAACACGCCAAATGAATGCGAAATGCTTTTAGACTGAATCAAAAGTCTCGTTTCGAGCGGCAGCTCGTGAAAGTGGATCCAGCACAGGCCTTTCAGAAAGACACAAACAAAAAGCTTTATTTTTTGAAAATTGTGAACCTTGCAAGAAATACAATTCGAGGAATGCAATCGGACTCTTTTTTCTTCACAAAAGCGAGAGGCGCGTTCTGGAAATGAAAGTCGGAAGGTCGATAGTTGTCGCAGGAAGCGGCGCTGTTTGTCGTTGTTGTGGTGGTGGTTTTATTCGAAGCCACTTTTCGAAGACGGCCTTTGACGCCATTCCATTAGCGCAAAGCGTAGCCGCGGTGACGTCATCAGCAGGCGCAGCTGATGAAGGCAGCGAGCCGGCTAATTGGGGCTCATTAGGGACGAGCGCGACGCCGAGCGGCGTCCGATGCGGAAAGCTCAGTTGCCATGGCAACGGGACGCTTCCGCTCCAGGTTTCACCGGCGAGCCACCGAGCAGCTCGTTGAGGCGACCGTCAAGCGCAAACAAGCGCCTCAAAAACAAAGAGAGACACATTCGGTCCCAAACAAACACAAAATACCACTTTTTGTTTTTCAAGATCACTTTTGCACTCACTTGTTGTTTTGTTTGTTTGTTTGTGTGTGTGTTCTGCTGTTGGCAGGTGAGACGTTTTGTCTTCAAAGCAAAAAGTCGTGTCAAAACACCATCTAGCTTCATCTTTTAAACATACCTACTTTTTTCTCTTGAGAATAATATTGATCAGAGATGATTTTTGGCTTGGAAACTTTTTTATTGTCAGATTAAAGAAATGTCATCATCATTTTTATAGAATCTGTGAATATTGTTTCAGTGGCTTAACTTTTTTATTTTTATTTTTAATCCAGTACAATTCGTTCGGTCACTACAGTTCCGTTGTATGCCTACAATACATTTACAATGAATCACTTTAGAAGTGTTTGTTTTATCCCTGTACTACGTATTTGTTTTTCGTTTCGCAATACATTTCCAATCAGTATTTAATTGAACACAGCTTCATTTTTTTCCCCCTCTATTCATATAGAAAAATATTTTGGTACCTTTTAGAGGTATTTGAGTCGCCTCCATCTAGAAGTACATTTAAATTGAAGAGAATTTACTTTACTCTTCGGGGGCATGTGAGTGCATCGAGGAGTATTTCGCGAGGGGTACCGTAACGCTGATTGAGTATTTTATAGATTTCAGAATGTTGAGGTTCCAGTAGTTTTCACTGACTTTTGGGAAGTATTTTGTCAACTGGAGAATTTTCTGGTCACTTTTCGGAAGTGCATGAGTACACATCACATCACGTTGTACATCCACACTTCCGATGCGACGGTTCTTAAATGTCGGTCACTAAGGTAACACTTGGAGAGCCGAGTAACAATTTATTGATTGATTTAATTTCAGGTGCCGTCTTTTGTCAAAAGTTTGAGAACAGCTGCCCATGAGTCTCGGATGAAACGCTCCGCCTTGCGTAATCGTATTTGAGGCCAAGCGGATGATTGGCCGGCACTTGTCGAAGCCTCCGGCGAGCGTTCATTTGTCCGCTTGAACTGCGTCAAGTGGTTGCCGCGGCAACACCCGCTCCATTCGGATGACAAAGAAGATATGCGACACATCCCCGCGGCGGCCGCGCAAGACGAGGGCACGCGTCCACAGTCGCTCGCAGGTGAGTGGCCGCACCGCATTTACGATGACATCTTCACCGGCAAAACATCAACAACGGGTTTCCATTCAAAAGGAGACTTTTTATCTCGTCATTTTATTGGGACAAAAACAAAAAATTTTTTTTTTCTCCTGTCTGTCTATCTATCTATCGATCGATCGATCGATCGATCGATCTATCTATCTATCTATCTATCTATCTATCTATCTATCTATGTATCTATCTATCTTTCTATCTATCTATGTTTTTATTTTGGAAGAGATAAGGCTTGTGATGACAGTGACCGTGTCTGTAAAAAAAAAAAAAAAAAGGACAATTATTTTATGTTAGAAAAAAAAAACCCTGAACTTCCTTGAAAAAAAAAGTTTGGATCTTTTTACCTCCTTGTTTTTTTTTTGTTTTTTCTTTTATAAGTGCATTTTTTACAATTAAATAACAAGAATCTTTCTGGAAAAAACTGTTCTAATACGAATTAAATACCACTTTATACTTGGGGAAAAACAAACAAACATGTTTTTGAAAAAGGATAGCTTGTTCTTAGTTAAAAAGATTCTTTAAAAATTGGTTGACTCTTTTTCTTCAAATATTTTTTTTATACTTTTATTTGCATGGAAAAAAAGGTTTTCTTGCAAGCTGATGGGGAAAAAAACAAAGAACAAAAGATCTTGCAGAAAAACAACTTTTTACTTGAATGAATGAGTATTTTCCTGCAAAATGTGGATTTGTTGTGTTGAATTTTTCAAAAAAAAAAATACTGACCTGAAAAATGGAAGTTTTTTTCTTCTGGGGAAAAATTCAATTCCCCCCATGGGAAATCAGACTTTTTTTTCTTGAAATAAGAATGAGAATCTTGTGTCACCTTGATTGAAAAAGAATAACGGTGTTGAAAGAAAGAAAGAAAGAGGATTTTTTTTGTTTCCTGTAAAGGTGAACCTTTTCTCCGGGTCCTCCGGTTTCCTCCCACATTCCCAAAACATGCGTGGCAGGCTGATTGAAGACTCTTAATTGTTGATGGTTGTTCCTCATTGTGTGTTCTGCGATGGGCTGGCGAGCGCCCGAAGACAGCTGGGATAGGCTGCGGCACGCCCGCGACCCCCCCGAGGATAAGAATCAAAGACGTTTTTTTTTTTTTGTTTTGTTTTTTTTCCCTGGGGAGGAAAATACCTTTTTTGGTATCAAATCCTTCAAAGCAAACAAAAAGGACCCCCCACCCCACCCCCTCCCAACAAAGCTTTTTTTGTAATTGTGGCATGTTGCGTGTGAGAAAGTTGTTCAGGATGTGGGTGGGCGTGGCGCCATCCCGCCGCTGCTGGTTCCTCTGCCTGCTCGCTGTCTCGTCGGCGACGCTGCTCCGACCTCGCGAGCTGCGCCATCTTCAGCTGGACGCTGACTGGTCACCGTTAGGTGAGACTTTTGCGATATTCCAGTTTTGGCAATCCTTTATTTGGTTTATTTATTTATTTTTTTCTGTGGTGGTGGTTATAGCTCTAACTTT